TATGATTTATTTTGTTCCTCGCTAGTCTTCTTAAAGTTGGCTGACCAACGCACATGTGCACATATATATACTGCCTAATACAAGTCCCTTCGCATAGCTCTATTTCTAAGCTCTGCAGCAACTTGGTAGAATTTCTCTTACACTGTGAGCTTATTGTTCTGAAACACAGTTGATCAGTACTATACAGAGCACTCAAAGTCATGAAGTTTATATGATGTCCTTGGAAATACTTCCTATTCTGTCTTAGGTTCTTAGCCCTCTCTGTGTTAACAATTCAGAGGCCTCAGCTGACCAGCTACTTCTTTGCATTTATAGTAGAGATCTTTTGTTATCGCTCTGTATCTGCAGCATTTTGAAACATTAACTGCTATATTATTACTGTTATGACTGTCTTCAGGGCCATCTGACACTGCATCATAGCATGATGCTTCTCTCTATGGCAAGTACTTTCCAATTTTGCATCACTTAAGTTCTCAGAAAAAGGCCCCTATGCTTTTCTTTTCTTGAACTCCTGTTAGCCATTATGCCTTTCACTTTGCTTTCTGAGCTACTGTGATTAGTGAAAATTGGAGAGGTTACTTCATGCAGTTTTCAGAGAAACTGAGATTGTTATTGCTTAATGGCATGTCTCTTTTTCTCCTTCTCCCTTCCCTCCCTCCAATTTTCATGTATATGGCTCAAAAAAGACTGCTTTCTGTACCTTCTTATTCTCTGCCAGGTCTTATTCAGCTTTATTTTCATTTTCTCTCTACATTTCCTGTGTTTGCAGACATTTTACCCTCATTCCCTTCCTTCTGTCACTACATTCATGCATTCCTTGTGGACTCTTCTTTCTTCTAAGCTTTTCCATAGGACTTGCTATCTTTTACTTCCTGATCTTGCCATGCTTTTTTTTTTTTTCTTTTTCCGTAAGGACTTGAAAAACTTCAGTGATTACTATAAGCTTTTAAGCAACTGAATATATTCTTCAGTCAGGAGACCCACCTAATGGGACACCTGTGTCACTTGTCCCAACATGAAAGATAATCAGTCCATTCTTCTGGCTCTTATCAGAAGACTCTTTAACCTCACAGTCTCATCTAATTCATATTCTTACTAAATACATCCTGACAAGCAACACGTTTTCTACTGGATCTGCTCAAAGACATATTTTGGGTAATAAAAATCTGCCTCTTCACTATGCTTTTAAGAGTCTTTAGTCCACCCCCTTTTGTCTGAGAGTCATGTTTCCTTCTTCTTCTCAACATCTTGAAAATCATTCATATTTCCCTTGGCCTCTCAGTCCTGGCCCTTTTTATGATCCTTTAGTGAAAACAGTTTCTAATTTCTTTACTGCCATCTTGTTTTTTCTATTAATTTTCTAATGTGGCAAGTCAGTGTCCCAGTCTCTCTTGCCCTGGCCTCATGTCCCTCTGTCCCCATGGTCTTTACATTACCCCCTACATTTATGTCTGTTCTTCAGGTTCTGTGTGTTTGAAAATCAAAAGTTGTTCATGCTTCTGGCATTTTCCCCACAAATACTCAAGCTCACACATTCTGTGTTGATCACTGCCTATGTTTGTACCACTCAGGTCTTCTCTCACGAGTATTTTCTATTGATACTTCATTCATTGATTCTGTGAGGTTTCCACTCAAGGACAAGGAAGACCCTGAAAATTCTGCATCCAGTAATCCTGATTGTCTCGGCAAATCTTAAGACTTTACTCACTGAAGGCTTAGCCACCATTTCTGTCTTTCTTTACAAGTTCCCAGATTTAAAGAAACACAGAAAATTCTCCTGGGTTAGCCTCCATAGTTTTGACTGTATATATTTATGAGCTTTTGTCTGGGTCGATGCTGTCAGCTCAGTGAGTCTTCCCAGTTAGCGCTTTTTCAGCTGTGATCAGTCAAAAGCAGGAAGCTCTTTTAACACCATTAGCTGCAATGCCTCAATCCTACTCATGAAAGAAAAAGTTGTGATTTGAGAAGCTGGGAACATTCCAAAAAACCAGAACTGAGAGCTTTAAACATGTTACCTGAAACGGACAAAGGCCAGTGAGTGAATAAAAAAAGCAAAATACTCTAGAATGTTCTACTGACTCAAACATAACATTTCTAAAACTGTGAAGAGGGATTTACTGAAGTTGAATAATCTTTCATAAATCAATGAGACAACTTGAGTGTGTTTGACTATGCTTTCTTGGCACAAGGCTTGTTTGTATAAAGATTTTTTCTTTCCTTTAAGCTAGTAAATGTAAAAACCCAGTTTCCACAAAATTTTTTTCATGGTAGTTTGATGGCTTTTTAGTTGGAAACTGAAGCTTTGGTTAGATTATAATGATTATTGTTTGTCTTAAGGAAACATGCAATTACTTTTTTGTAAAGGCAAAACTACTTTGCGTGCCAGTGTCACCTACCCTATTGGCCAGTGTCACCTACCCTATCGCCAAATTCCAGAGATCTCATTACCTTATCATTTTTTGGTCATGATGGATACCAGAAGAGCATTGGGTGTTCTCTTGCAGAGCAATTACTTGGACTAGTTCCATTATTCTATTTCCTTTTATGCCCCAATTCCCTAATCCCCTCATTTATAATGTCCCCACAACCTGCGTTTCCTTTATCAAGGGAGGAAGAAACAAATCCCCACACACTTACTTCAGATTTGAGTTTTTTTCCAGAGCAGAACTCTTCTCTGCTTTTTTGAGGGCTGTTCCATCAGCTTGTCTCCTATTTTCTTCTTATATGGGAAGGCATTAATTATCTTTAGTTTTGACCTTAAATATCATATGTGGATGGATATCCTTCCTTGAAACAGGGGAATTTTTTGTGTTTAATCCAAACTGATAATTAGGAAGACAGAGAAATTCTCTGTTTCAGAACCCTCCTTAAACGTTCCGTCATACATTCAACTTTTTATCTTCAGCTAAACATAAAATGACCAAAAATGATATTGCTAGCTTGGTTTTTTTCATATGTATCAGTTTGTCTAAGCCTAGCCCAGACAACTCATTGATGTTTTGCTTGTAAGGGTAGAAATATTTCTCTCACCTTCCTCCCAAGAATTATGGTTTCTGGAGCTCAAGACAAATACAAACATAGGATTGTGAAATCCCACAGGGGAGTAATATGACTGCAACAAATGTCATGAAGGAAGATGAACAGCCAAAACCAAATTGATGAACAGGGCCATTTCTACAGGCACTTTCAGCTTGGTCTCAGGAAGGGATGCTACCATTCTGTTTCGTCAGGAAAACTTCTGGAAGTCATAGTAGGCCTTCACCTAGAGCCTCAACTGGATGCAATGTGCAGAATCATTAACTTAAATGAAACTACACCAGCTTATGAAACTGGAAGAAGCAGTCCATTATATTCTCTCAAATAGTAGCTTAATAGCATCGGAGTGCCTTTCAAGTAATTCCCAAATAAGTGGAGAAAGGACAGGAGTTACCAAAGCCACGACATCTGATCTATTTCATTAATTGATCTTTTGGTTTGTCTGTTTTCTATTGTTTCAGTTTGATTTGGGTTTTATTTTCACGTGGTAGAGTCTCAGCAGAACCAGTTAGGGGATTAGAGGATTAGTGTTATATTGCTATATTCAGGGCCCTTTAATTGTGCGTTCAACAAGAGATTAAGAATGGAAGGGCAGAATGACCAGCAACTGCAATCAAGGCATGCTACAAAAAGGTGCTGTAAATTTCTATTTTCCTTTTCATCTGAAGAGATGGCCCATTGTCCAAGCATGGCAGCAGCAAAGGGATGTAATCATTCATTTGGCTCTAAGCTCAAATGTTCATGCTGGGCTTACTGCACTCCTGTTATATTTATATGTTGAAATTTGGCATATGGCTAGGAAATTAATTTTAGAAGTACCCCATTCCCCCAGGTAACCTACAGCTCCAGTGAAGCACACTAAAAACATATCAGAGTTGCAAAGTTCCCTCAGCAGAAGATCCATGAAGCCCAGTCTCTACAGCTGCCTTCAACTGATGTGTAAGTTCTCTGTGATTATTAAGTGTCACAGAGTTTTCTCTCACTGATACCAGAAGGCAGAATTTCAGCTAGCACGGTTGGAGCTCAGAAAGCAAAGGCCAGACTCAGTCTGCAGTAAGTCAGAGTAGTTGCTGTCATCAAAATGAATGTGGCCTTAGATATTCAAAGAAAGTATTAGATGAAGAGCTGGAGAGAATCGTATGCTCAGTATGCGTGGTCCCCATGATATAGTATGCATATTTCTTTCAGGTACTCTTACGCACAAGCTGTGGATGCTCAGTTTTTGGCTGCATAACTACTTGGAAATGTCCCACACTGTTTGATAAGACCCAGATGGTAACCAGATGGCTACATGTGACTCTTTGGAAGTGCTGCTGCAGACGGGGACTAAAACCGAAGTAAGTCTACAAACACTTCCCTCTCTTTTCTGTAACTTTTATTAATAGGGAGTGGAGATTACTATACTATATCCCCTCTATTAAATAATGGTAGATGTTTTTTTGGGGGGTTGCAGATAATTTTCCCATTTCAGGAAACCAAAACCACTCTGACCCAGAGTCTAAGCATTTTCCAATTATGACTTCTTTACTTACTTGATATATCTTACATTGTCAAATTTGGGACAATTTTAAATTTGAAATTGCCATAAAATACATAAATATTACACTATCTTCAGGAATATAGTGAACTTTGCTCCACCTACTCCCTTTCTAAAAGCTCTCCCTTTGACCAACTTTGCAGCTATCTATTTCTTATAAGGAAAGGCACACTCATGTGCACTAACCACCTAACAGATGACATGCAGACAAATAACATACAGACAAACACATCTTTTGAAAATCATGGCTCTTGAGAGAATTTCTGTATAAAAGCTTATTCCAGTTACAAAGGTGCAAACAGAACTAATGCTCTTGCCATTCGTTAGTAACATCTCTTCCCAAAACAGAATTCCGAAACAGTTGTAACATTTCTTCTACAGTACTTTTCCAGACACTATATTGTTTACGGTAAGAGAGAGAACTTACAGGATGGTGATGATTCACTCCACCAGCTTATTTTCCAGCTACATTCAAAGACAAGGTAATGATTCAACTGCTTCTTCCAGTCACGTATCAGGAACTCGTAGAATTTCAGCCAATTTTTTCATTCCTGAAAAACATTGGCCTCACATAATCTTCTGTAAGTCATAAGCATAACAGAAAAGACTCTTATTGTACAGAAAGGCTAAAAGATGATTTAGCATAGCATAGCCTGTAATACCAGACGTCTTTCTCCCTCTCTCACACACTGTTTTAGTTTGCAGTCAAAAAAAAATGCTATTGTGGTGATGATTTAGAGATACAAAAGGGGCCTGTAAGCATTGTTAGCCTAATATTGCTACAATGCCATGAAAATTTAACATATCCCAATTTCTAATTGTGTGGATTGTGTTTTTGCAGGAATTTCTTTTGGGAAGTTCATAAGAATTTATTTGGCTCCAGATGAATTGTGTTGTCTCACACTATTAATATTTCCTAATGTTGGTCAGTGATTTACTGTAAAGTTTCTGTTTTACCTTAGCCTAGATCCTATTATGTAGTCATCACTTCTGTATGACAAAACAAAATAAAATACCTTCATAATGATACCTGACACAAACATTTCAACATATCTGAGTTTAATGGTACCAAAACTTCTTGGCATCAAACTCTATATACTCCATGAGTCATAAATTAAATAATTTTCAGCTCTGTAAGCAAAGGATAGGTTATGCTGGTTTGCAGTTAAACACATTAGATATTTATTAGGGACATAAACCAATCACATAATGCATCTGCATTGACAGGAAGGTGTACATGTTTGTATGCAGGAAGGAGATACAATACAAAGAGGCAAAAGGATAAGGAAGACATCTGTGGTATGGAATAGATTTAAATGCAGGGAAGTGTTGCCACTCAGAATAAAATCTAAGATGTTCTTTTTAAATATCACATTTTGTCATTTTGATGGGAGAAGCCCATCTCATTTAATTCATTGCAGCTTAAAATTTCGCTAGTAGTTCACCAGGATCTAGTTATATGTTAATATTTTTCTGATTTGGTGTTTGGAAACTCTACATTTTGTTAATGAAATTCTGTCAAAAGGTTCATTACTTAATAATTATTTTTAATAATTTATGTTTTAATGATTTTTGCCCCTTCTTCAATATTTGCTCTCTGGGTGTTTCTCTTTACTGACCGTTCATAATTTTAATTTTGATGTGGTTTAAACAGTTCAGTCTGATTAAGAATGCAATAAAAGCAAGAATCGGAAGATCCTGCTTAGCTCTGGGAAGTCCCTTCCGAAGCTTTTGTTTTCTGTTTCCATACTGCCATCTTGAGTATAAGTCTTAAAACTACAGTTATTACACATCAGAATCACGGCTTTGCTTTCTTCTATTTACCTTGCATTTTGCATGCTTGAAAGTGAGTTTCAGTTACTGCCAAATTAAAACAGCTGCACTTTATTCACAGGGATGTAAATAAGTAAAGGTGAACCAGGTTGTCCGTGATGGCTGTTCAAATACTACCACAACATCTTGTTGAACGAACATAAACTTGCACCAGGCAGTAAGAAAGATGTTTATTTGCCTTGTCATATACACTGCTTAGAAGAAATACTTAATTTTTCAGCAAAACCCAGGAAATATCTGACTTAAGAATTATTTTTTGTCTTTTCCAACTTGAAGACAGTTTTGTAGGTCCCTGAATTCCAGGAATATGATGAGAGGGTACTACTTTGTAAGCTCTGAATATTTATGTCCCCTTATTTTTATATTCTCACATTTTACATAAGAGTCTGTTCTGTTCTTATTCTGTCACTGTCTTCCTGTGACAGAATTAGGGATCAACTTCACAGGCCCTACATTTTCAAAGCTGGCTAGTGATTTAGAGACTGACATGACCGGATTCTCTGAAAGTTTTCAGCCACTTGCTCTCCCATCAGGTTACTTTAAGGGCAGTCACAGGCTACTGGTGGAGGATAAGATGCTGTGGCTTAATGAATCACTGGTGATCAGCTGAACCTTGCTGCTCATATGGGGCCAGCTGAAGTGGTTGATCTTGTGCTTGTAAGGACTCCTTCAGGATAGCATGATAGTGGACAGTTAATTAATAGATGTATGTAAGGATAGAGCCTTACAGTTATTACTTATCAAAGCCTGATCTGATAATATATCACCTGATATACATGAGTTAAGATCTTCCAAAACTGCCAGCTAGAAAATGTGAATAGAATACTCTGTGTGCCTACACTGTTTTATCAAAGCTTCCTGCCATTAAAGAAACAATTTTAATGAACAGATAGTTTCTTGCAGAAAAAACCCTGAACCCCAACATAGCCCTTCAAAAACAGAAAAAGAAATCCAAATATTTGATATTCATACAAAAGGAATCACATTGAATATTTGTTTAGTTATGGATAAGAGCAATTTAGCTGTATTAAGAGCAGGAAATGTTTGTGTACAAGGAAAAGCCATCTTTTAAGATAAAAAAGATTAAAAGATTTCATCTGGCAAGCTCCCCATTTTTTCAAACAAATATAATGTCAGCTTTTACAGAATGATTGTACTTTGTGGTCTTTCTGACTTCGTAATAGGAGAGGAGCAGATATAATTTCTTAGTCTTTCTTCTTTGCTTAAGTGACGCATGGGATGAGCACGTGAAACTCATTATATTCCTGCCCGTCTATTTTACTCATCTTTGTGCTTAAGACAGGCACAAAATTGTGATTAGACTTTACACATATTATGAGGCAATACCCTTGGCTGAGTGGGTAGGAGAAGCAGGTGGGTTGTCTCATTATGGTATATTATATGGGCGTGTTTGTCCCTCTGTACTCAGCGCTGGTGAGGCTGCACCTTGAATACTGTGTTCACTTTTGGACCCTCCTCTGTAAGAAGGACACTGAGGTGCTGGAGTGTGTCCAGACAAGAGCAGTGGCGCTGGTGAAGGGTGTGAAGAACTAGTCGTGCAAGGAGCAGCTGAGGGACCTGGGGTTGTTTAGCCTGGAGAAAAGGAGGCTCAGGGGGACGTTATTGCTCTCTACAACTGCCTGATAGGAGATTGTTGCGATGTGAGTAATGATATCTTCTCCCAAGTAACAAGTGATAGGACAAGAGGAAATGGCCTCAAGGTGCACAAGCAGAGCTTTGGATTGGGTATTAGAAAATGTTTCTTTACTGACAGGGTTTTCAAGCATTGGAACAGGCTGCCCAGGGAAGTGGTGGAGTCACCAATCCTGGAGGTATTTCAAGGACATGTAGATGTGATGCTTAGGGCCATGGTTTAGAGGTGAACTTGGCAGTGCGGGGTTAATGGTTGGACTCAATGATCTTAAAGGTCTCTTCCAACCTAAACAATTCTATGATTCTATGAACTGAATTCTGAATGAATTATTAAACATTCAGAACTTCTCATAATGAGTTCATACTTGCAGAGATTATAACCCTCATTCCCTTCTTTTCTGTCTTTTGTTTACTGCAGTCTTCAGCTGCCACTGGCAGTTACTGTTACATCTGGGATCTGTGTCTACCTTTTTTACATTTAGATTGTAAGTTTTGGGGACAGAAATCATCTTTTTGGTGTGTCTTTATATAGTGCCTAACACAAAGCAGGTCATGTGCCTCTGCTATATGCTTAAGTATATCACCACTCTTGCACAACTGAGAAAAAAAAAAATTCTCAATTCACCTAAACCAAAGAAAAAAATCGTTCAAATATTAAAATAATTACATCAAGAATATTATATGAATGGTTCTCACAGTCTCACACAGACTCCATGTTGAAACTCCAGCAGTGATATGTTAAAAAACACTGATAATGCCTTGTTACAGGTACCTGCTTGGAGAAAAACAAAGCCATGAGAGTCCAAAGAACAATATAAAGATGTTTAAAAACTGAACCTGAAGGAATTGGTATAGTTTACTCTAAGAAAGAAAAATCTAACAGAGTACATATGATAATAATCCACTGTGCAAAACAGCTTTAAGTAGAGAAGATGACAGGAAGAGTAAAAAATTAATTTTTCTTGTGCTGAAGTTGGTGCAACTGTTTAATTGGAATGATAAAGCACTGGAGCTTAAGAATGCTGTGAATTCTCTACTGGAGTGACTCAGATAAACTATCTGAATAGCTGGTACATATTTGACCCTCCTCAGTTCAGCATCTGGCTAAAAGAATCCCTTCTAATCCTTTCCCTTGTATAATTCTGTGATGTCTAGGTGAGGACATACTGAACTCCCAGGAAATTTTAGACCAATTGATCTACTATTCAGAAATTTAAATTTGCACAAAATGGAAGTTGTCCATGTATAAATGTATTGGATTTGCATGGCAGGTTTTGGTAGTGGGGGTGCTACAGAGGTGGCTTCTGTGAAAAGATGCTGGAAGCTTCCCTTCTGTCTGACAGAGCCAATGCCAACTGGCTCCAAGAGGGACCCACCACTGTCCAAGGCCAAGCCCACCAGCAATAGTGGTAGCACCTCTGGGATAACCTATTTAAAAAGGGGAAAACACTGTTGTGCAACAGCAACTGCATCTGGAGAGAGAAGTGCGAATTATGTGAGAGCACCAGCCCTGCAGATACCAGTGAAGAAGGAGGGGAGGAGGTGCTTTAGGTACCAGAGCAGAGATTCCCCTGCAGCCTGTGGTGCAGATCATGGTGAGGCAGGCTTGTGCCCCTGTAGACCATGGAGGTCTATGGTGGAGCAGATATAGACCTGCAGCCCATGGAGGACCCCATGCCAGAGCAGAGGGATGCCTGAAGAAGGCTGTGACCCAATGGGAAGCCCATGCTGGAGCAGGGTCGTGGCAGTAGCTATGGGCCCGCGAAGAGAGGTGAGCCCATGCTGGAGCAGGTTTGATGGCAGGACTTGTGACCCTGTGGGGGACTCACAGTGGAGCAATCTGTACCCGAGGGACTGCATCCCACGCTGGAGCAGTTTGGGAAGAACTGTAGCTCATGGGAAGGACTCATGTTGGAGTTCAGTGGAGGACTGAATCCTGTGGGAGGGACTCCACACTGGAGCAGAGGAAGAGTGTGAGGAGTTCTCTCCTGAGAATGAAGAAGCAGCAAAGACAACATGTGATGAACTGGCTGCAGCTCCCATTTCCCCTTCCCACGGGAGTGGAGGGGGTAGAGAAATTAGGAGTAAAGTTAAGCCCAGGAAGAAGAGAAGGGTGGGGTAGGTGTTTAAAGATTTGGTTTTATTTCTTATTATCCTACTCTGATTTGATCTGTAATAATTAAATTGATTTTCCTCAAGTCGAGTCTGTTTTACCCATGACAGTAATGGGTGAATGATCTCTCCCTGCCCTTACCTTGATCCATAAGGCTTTCATTTTATTTTCTCTCCCCTGTCCAGCTGAGGAGAGAAGTGACAGAGCAGCTTTGGTGAACCCACCACAGTAAGGAACCTTAGAGGGAATGGTGGAGAATGCAACTCAAGAAGCTTAGAGACGTACATTTAAATAATCTCTATATCTGTTTTCAGCATGTGTTACAGATTCAAACCAGGACATTAAGGCCAAATTAGTGAAACACCAGGAGGAGCAGGCAATCTACACTGAAAATGGTGGCAACTTTCCCATCTGCTGAAAACTGTTAAGTAACAGATTCCAGCTAACTTCCAAGAAAACATCTAGGCTATGCAGAACCATGTCAAGTCCTAGATTCCTACTGGCATATATGGATTTTTAATTGGCCTAACAAAACTGCTGCATAGATCCTTTTATGGTATTCTACCCTATGGAAAGACAGAAGCTAGGAAGTTTTGGAAAGGGGAGTCATATTAATATGTATTCCTATGCATGCTATCAGGAATTTATTTAGCATGGATCTGAAATATTCTGAATTACTTGCTCAGTGCTATACATTTCAAAGAGAAAAAAAGCACTGTCACAGGGAAAGAGGTAAAAAGGAAACTGGAGCTACCAAAAAATCACAGCACTAAGCAGCAGCAACAGTGTATTCAAAGCCTGTTCAAATACAAAAAGCAAGAGGATAATTCTGGGTGGGCCACCAGTGGATAGGCTTCTATAGGAAAAACTTTGATAAATTTTGTAGCCGTATTTCTCTGCAGGAAATCACAGAAGGGTCAGTAGTGAAACTGCGGGTTGCCACGTCTTGAGACCGCATTATCTCCCTTTCATTCATTTACACGTTCTTTAATTTTCAGTGTGGCAATTTGATATAAATAATGGGGAAATGAGAAAAAACGATAATTTAAGAAAGCACCTGTCTGATTAGAATATGTGCAAATCAATAGAAAGTTTTCTGTGAAGCTGGTTTAATCACAAGTAGTTTTACTCTTCAAATATTCTGAGAAATAAGCTCACTGGCATGTTTGTTGAAAGAGCAACGGTTAAGGAGTATGCCATAAAAGACAAGACGTTAAACACCAACACTCTTTTACAATGAAGTCCCATCTGGAGCTGAAGAGACATTTGATTTTTGTATCTTTGGAAAACTCGGCAGCATTATTCCCATTTTGAAAGGGCAGCAGGGTTTGGCACACTGCTGTATTGTGGTGCAGAGACCACTTGATGGTGGTGTTGTGCAGCGCCCCTGCAGGAGCCGCACCAGCTCACATTCCTTGCAGCCAGGACAAACGGCGTGAATGCAACGAGTTCCACGACTCCAGCTCACAGCTAGCGTGGCCCACTAACTAATACATTGATCAACCCGTACGCTACAGACCCCCTTGGAAGCAGAAATCACTTAGGCTCAGTTTGAATTCATTTAAACAAATCCATACCTAGCATGAGTAAAGTACCTTTACAATATCTTCACTCATCCTGTGACTGATCTCTTTTCAGGTTGCCAAAGGTTTATATTCTTCCCTTAGCCTAACTTATCTCTTCCTCTGGTTTATATTCATTTAAGTGTTGGACAGGTCATAGCTGGGATACAGAGACCAACCTGCCAGAATAAGAAGTCATTGCAGTCTTAGCACTTACTTCCAAGCGGGATAAATCAGCCAAGCCTAAACATGCTATTGCAACTAAGGCGCCTAAGGTAATGTGAGTTATCTAGTTTAAAATGAGCTTGGCTTGCCCTTTACCCTGGGGCACTGACATACCCTCAGCCTGTTGTGCCCCCTGTGACAAGATCACTTCTGTTTTTCACAGTGGGTTGATAGCTGTAACGCTGGCTGGATTGTTTTAAGGTGGCCCTGAACATGCTGTGCCCAGACTGTTGTTGTGAATAGGAGATGTAACTCATGCAATCCCAGGCAGATGGACATGGCTTCAAATTAGGACAGCTGCTCAGGGCCTAAGTGTTTCAGGTGTGCTGGTCTCAGTTCCTGTGAGCAAAATCTCACAGGAAATTGCTCTATCCCTGTGTTTACTGTGCCAGCTGACAAGATCCATCACCTTTCTGTGTCACCCCCACCCTCCCATGATTTTGATGAAAGAGGTGAGGAAAGATTTAAAGCAGAACACACAACCAGCCAGCTCTGGTACTTTGGACAATGTACCAGAGCTGGCTGGTTGTGTGTTGTGTTGCCAGCCCAGTCTGCACATGCACAGAGTACCACACAGGTGACTGTATGTTTATGGATGCACTGTTTTCCACTAAAGAGATCTCCATCTCCTCTATGGCAAAAGTTCATTTGAAGGCCCCTTTCTAACTTCATGGATACTTCTGGAATAAATTATATAATCACAGAATAGTTAGGGTTGGAAAGGACCTTAAGGTCATGTAGTTTCAACCTCCTGCCATGGGCAGGAACACCTCAAACTAGACCATATCACCCAAAACCTGGCCTTGAACACTGCCAAGGATGGAGCATTTAGCACTTCTTTGGGCAACCTGTTCCAGTGCCTCACCACCCTTACAGTAAAAGAACTTCTTCCTTATATCCAATCTAAACTTCCCCTGTTTAAGTTTTAACTCATTATCCCTTGTCCTATTGCTACAGTCCTTGATGAAGAATCCCTCTCCAATATCCTTGTAGGCCCCCTTCAGATACCGGAAAGCTGATATGAGGTCTCCACACAGCCTTCTCTTCTCCAGGCTGAACAGCCCCAACTAAATTAAGCTCCAAAACATGTTATAATCAAAGCAAACCTGAGAAATAGTTTGGGCTATTTGGTCAGAAAGTCTGTGATTTACTAAAATGGATGCCTTGTTGGAGGGAGCATTTAAATTGCATTAAACATTTTCCCATACCAAAAACTGTGGTTGTGAAGTAGAGCTAGCACCAGATTTGTTTCCAGGTCAGATTTTTAACCTCTTTCTGCCCCAGCCAAACACAAAGTTTATTCGCCCCGTCGGTTTTCATCGACAGTTGCTTCAGTCGCATGTGTTGTATAGTAGGTCTGTATTGCAAAACACAACTCTTGCAAATGGTACGGTTTACACTTTCAGTCTTAAACTGTAGTCAGTTAAATTTTCACACATGGTCAAAAGAAGCCACCACTATGGAAATAAATTCTGAGCAGCAACACCCTGTATAGCTGCCAGGGCCTTTGCTGCTATAAACACAAATAAACTTCCATAGTAGGCCCTTTAATTTACTGGAGTCCAATATCTAATTCTAGCAGCAGCCATTAGGAGATATTTCAATGCACCGAGAAGCCCTTAGTCTGCGTGAGTTACTGCAGAGAAAGAAAGTAAACTTCCATCCCAAATTCTTTTAGAGACTTTTCCTCAGAGAATGCTTTATTGTCCACAAGGCAGTCAGGGAACCACACAATCAAAGTAAAAACCACAGAGCAACCAGGACAGGCAGAAAGGAAACACACCCTTTCAAACCCCTCTTCCCCTTTCCTTTATTATCTGCCCACAGACTGGTAGGACACACCAGCTGGAGCCCATTAACCTTCTGCTAATTGAATACTGTTATCCATTGTGCTGCCCAGAGAAGAAGTTTCTTTTTAATTTTTAAGTTTTTTTAAAGTCATAAGGTTTCTCAGCTTTTCTATTATTGCATTATTTGATTTTGATTGAAATTACTTCTGAAGCTAATGAGCATAAAATGCTCGTTTACCCCCATTTACTTTCTTTCTCTTCACATCACTAAACTCTTTTTTCAGGCTTGACTTGTTCCCACCTGACCCCCTCTCTACCTTTCCTTTGAACCCCTCCCTTACCAGGGCTTTAGCATGAAGACAGAAAATAAGTCATTAATGAAACCCCACAGATCAGTTATGTAAGTGCTGGGTTTTACAGCTGCTGGTAAGGAAATGGGTATGTGTTCTACAAAGATTTATATTTGTACAGGAATATTTCCAACGTGAACCACATCACAGATTCTGCCAATTTCTGGAAAAAAAAAACAAACAAACCAAAGCAACAGTTTTTCTTTAATATAACACAGCCATCTATAGAATCTTTACTTATTGCATACTTCAAAATAAGAAATTTGGATTTAAAAAAATACCCCCCCGAATAAAATGTAAAGCATACCTAATTTATTAGTATAATTTCTATTCATTACCTAGCTATATAAATTTACCTAAATTCAGTATCTAAGTGCAGAGGCAGGAGTGCTTCTGTCCTTACACCATAAATAGACTGAAATTATTCTTATGAAAATAAACTTGCAAACGTCTGAATATTATCTAGTAAATACAATAAATGTAGCTTAATATCATAATAATCAAATGCACAAACACAGTCATCAAGATTATGTAATAAGTAAAAGCTTTCTTTCATGTTTTATGTTTTTCATGCCGTTGCCCTGGCTTAGCCTCTACTTGTGCTCCTCAGCGGATTACTCCCGCTCTCCTTTGCTTTCCGCTATATTGGATTTTTCTCCCTTGCCCCCATCTCAGGCAAAAAAGCAACCTCAGAAAAATAGGATGTTTTGCCCCAGGTTAAAGCTGCAGCTCTCATCTGCAGAAACAGAAATCCCTGCAAATTACACTGCTAGGAAACTTGAGCCATTGTCAGTGCTGCTATTTCACATCCCTCAGATGTATAACTTGCTGGTGGCTGTTTTCTCCAGCTACTGACTGGAGACTGCTTTTGTTGGACACCTACCAGGGGTAAGGAGGAGCACATTACACATTTGCTATTCATCTGCCTTTGCTGATGGGTTTAAATTCTGCCAAGAAACAGCTTTTTACACCACCTGCAATGTTTTACTGATTAAATAAAGCTACTTTAAATGTGCTGGCAGCTGTGGTGAGCTAATTGACCAAATGACATGCTTGCAGTCCTTTCTTCAACAAGCAGCTGGCCACCTGCTTTTGGGTGGTAGGCTTCTTAGCAGTGTCAACTGGAGTTTCCCTGGTCTCTTTAAAAAGTCTCTCCCTAACTTTTAAGCCTCACAGCGGCAACCGTCTCCTCCATATCCTCACATCTCCTATGTGCTTTGGGCTGTGCGGAGCTCCTTACAGCCTGTGTTCTGTGGGCTGTGTAGGGATACTGAAGCTGTGCCCCCCTCCCCCGCAATGAGATAGCTGCTGCTCTGTGGTGAAGCCATGTGCCTCAACAAGGTGGCATATCGCTCTGTGATGCCACAGCTCCAGACACCTCACAGCACCACAGAGTAGCCAGCTTTGCTCACAGCAGTCTTTTGGCCAGAATGAGAAGGAAGCACAGAGAGAAAGGGGCAAATTTCCTCTTATTTCAGCTGCCCCCAGAGGTACAAGGAGGTGGCTGGCATTTTGTGTAAAGGAGTATGTGCATGATGGAGGCTTTCCAGCCAGGTGAGAAATGCAACCAGGTCATGAGATCCACAACACATCCTCTTGTGGTATCAGCCTCTTTGAGAAGTGTAGGGTGTTGTTGCTCCATAAGTGCTTTACTAGGAAGTTGACTTAAGAAGAAGTAAATAGCAGCAGTGGTAAGACAAGTTCTCCTTCCCTGTAGAACTTTAGTTAGGAAATAGTAATTTCTTTAATGAGAACCCTCTCACAGCAGCTTTACTTTTGTTTCAATACATTGGTTTATTGTAAGGTACCTGAGGTGAGACTATGCTTTAAATCAGCCTGAAAAATCAGAGTGTAAATATACACCATAACCAGGTGCTGAAGGGGCATTTCAGGTCTGAGCCCACGCCCCGCAGGGGACCAAGGCTGCATCTCCCTTTCCAAAGACTGTTTAAGGTGATGTTTTAGGTCTACTTTTGAAACATAAATATATTTCAAAAGTGTTTAGAGATGGTTTCATTTTATCATCAAATGGAGAAAAAAAAGAAAAACCCACACCAGAAAACCCTGATGTTCCTATGAGCAAGTTTTATCACAGATTTCAAGACAAAGCAGAGGCAGATCAACTGCATGTGCTTTTTGAAAAGCCTATAGTAAATATTTTGGTACCTGCTCTTTGCACCTGAGCTGCACTGTTCAGGTGATGCTCATGCAGGGGTGCTGTCTCTGTAATAAAAGCAGTAAATAATGGGAACATCTGAAACTATACTGGTACTGTGGTAAGGCATGAGGTATCCTTTCCACATGCCTGAGATTTGTCAGCCAAAACTGTGACTGGGGGAAGATCTGGCATCCCATCATATACAATTGAAATCCAATGCTTGATATCGGAGAGCCTGGAGAAGCAGACTTTCCTCACATGTGTGCAATAGCTGGGTGTTTTTTCCCAAATTACCCTGGCATTCAGTACCAACAAATGGTACTGAATGTATATGAACAAACACACCACACCTTCTGAGTACACACTTGATCTGGGCCCATGCAGATTGTCTCAGCACTGTGAACACTCATTGCTGACTCGTGTCAGGAAGGGATTCTGCACCCATTTACAGATAGTTGGATATCTAAAAGCGTCTTTGGATCCAGCCATGCACACCTGATCCTAAAACGTTTCTAAGACTTCATGGTTTTTAATGAGTTTTAACACACATTTACAGGATTAGCAGCTAATTCCATAAAATTGTTATATTTTTCTGCAGGCTGAAACAACTTTTTAGTACTGGGAGTGTTGCAATAGTGTGGTAATTCATATGCCTTATGTTAAAGAGATGTCTGGGACAAATACTGATTGAAGTTATCTTATTTTGGGGGGATAAAGCAGCCTATTTGAAGCACTTCTCTATACCTGAGCACATCATTATGACTAACTTTAACAAGATCTGGCAGTTATTTCCATTGAATATGTCGAACAACATACAAATGTTTAAAACCAACAGGATTTTAAATCCTCAAACTGTGTCTCTAATTGA